AATTTTTTTTTATCATTTTAAGTTAGTATGTGTCATTTGTACTTTAAAACTAGAATATCAATACTAATAATTATATTTATCCATTTGAATATGATGTGTTATTTTAATTTTACATAATAATAAATATATATAACTGACAATAGTAATGTACAATTCACATTCAAATCACGTGCAGAACATGTGCAAATCACGTGTATATATATATATATATATATTTATAAAGTTAAAAAAAAATTGATTGAATGATATATGTTCATCTGGTGCTCCTACTGAATAATATTTTTGTCTCCACCACTGCCCATTACATATACCAAAACCCACGAACGAGTTACCCTAGAGAAGCCTCAGTCAAAAGTGAAAAAAGGGGAATTTTATGCTCAAGGGCACCGGAAGAATAGAGTTTATTATTACTAGCATTTCTCTTGCCCTTAATCGAAATTATTAATTACCCCCTCCGCCCTATAAAAATATTCCATATTGAGTTTTGAGTTTTGTACTGATTTTATTACTAATTTAAAAATTCAATGTGGACTATTTTTTGGGACGGAGGTAGTATTTCATCTGTAATGAATAAATTATTTTGATTCATTAAGTAAGTTTTTTTGAGTTTTTTTTAATCTAGAAATTTTGTTTGTTTTTTAATGATCTAAAAAATGACAAAGAAAATAAAAAATGAGAAAAAAAATGAGACCCAATAGTTTTTACCTGTTATATTGTTTTGTAGGTCATGGGATAGATCCGCTCAATTTTGATAATCTTAGAACGTAATTGATCAATTTTAAAAAGATTGAGATGAATTAGTACACTGATATACACATTGTGATGTATCCGCTCATTTACTCGTAAGTATAGTAAGCCTCGAGATTTACCATCCAGCATTACTAACTACCCGTTACAGATACCAAAACCCATCAATAATAGAATTGGAATAAGTTTCTCCTTATTTGACCAATAAATTATTGGGATTCAATATATAACTCATGATGTCTTTGATTTTGAGGAACAATGAAAGAATTTGTTGGGGGCTTCCATCGTGGAATTGAAGACATAAGTGAAAATTTGTAAGCAAATTGGTAGACTCAATTTAAACAAAAAAAAGGAGGCTTAAATTTGTAGCTTTTTTTTTTTAAAAAAAAGTTTAGAACTAAGGTGCATTTTGCACAGTATGGATTTATAGAAACTTACTCATCATTTTAACTTGAAATTCTTACCTCACTTTTCTCTTTTCCTGAATTAAAATTTTCATATTCCCTTTACATTTACTTATTTTCTTAACATAAGTTTAAGATATAGTAGTCTAGTAGTAGGCCTCGAGATTCACCTTTCATGATTACTTACCACCCATCACCATTCATGATTTTAAACTTAATCCGCGTATTTTTAATAAAATCTCTTGAGATATTTTATATTTTGTTAATCATATAAATTTTTTTTTATCATTTTAAGTTAGTATGTGTCATTTGTACTTTAAAACTAGAATATCAATACTAATAATTATATTTATCCATTTGAATATGATGTGTTATTTTAATTTTACATAATAATAAATATATATAACTGACAATAGTGATGTACAATTCACATTCAAATCACGTGCAGAACATGTGCAAATCACGTGTATATATATATATATATATATTTATAAAGTTAAAGAAAAATTGATTGAATGATATATGTTCATCTGGTGCTCCTACTGAAAAATATTTTTGTCTCCACCACTGCCCATTACATATACCAAAACCCACGAACGAGTTACCCTGGAGAAGCCTCAGTCAAAAGTGAAAAAAAGGGGAAAATTATGCTCAAGGGCACCGAAAGAATAGAGTTTATTATTACTAGCATTTCTCTTGCCCTTAATCGAAATTATAATTACCCCCTCCGCCCTATAAAAATATTCCATATTGAGTTTTGAGTTTTGTACTGATTTTATTACTAATTTAAAAATTCAATGTGGACTATTTTTTGGGACGGAGGTAGTATTTCATCTGTAATGAATAAATTATTTTGATTCATTAAGTAAGTTTTTTTGAGTTTTTTTTAATCTAGAAATTTTGTTTGTTTTTTAATGATCTAAAAAATGACAAAGAAAATAAAAAATGAGAAAAAAAATGAGACCCAATAGTTTTTACCTGTTATATTGTTTTGTAGGTCATGGGATGGATCCGCTCAATTTTGATAATCTTAGAACGTAATTGATCAATTTTAAAAAGATTGAGATGAATTAATACACTGATATACACATTGTGATGTATTCGCTCATTTACTCGTAAGTATAGTAAGCCTCGAGATTCACCATCCAGCATTACTAACTACCCGTTACAGATACCAAAACCCATCAATAATAGAATTGGAATAAGTTTCTCCTTATTTGACCAATAAATTATTGGGATTCAAAATATAACTCATGATGTCTTTGATTTTGAGGAACAATGAAAGAATTTGTTGGGGGCTTCCATCGTGGAATTGAAGACATAAGTGAAAATTTGTAAGCAAATTGGTAGACTCAATTTAAACAAAAAAAAGGAGGACTAAATTTGTAGTTTTTTTTTTAAAAAAAAGTTTAGAACTAAGGTGCATTTTGCACAGTATGGATTTATAGAAACTTACTCATCATTTTAACTTGAAATTCTTACCTCACTTTTCTCTTTTCCTGAATTAAAATTTTCATATTCCCTTTACATTTACTTATTTTCTTAACATAAGTTTAAGATATAGTAGTATAGTAGTAGGCCTCGAGATTCACCTTTCATGATTACTTACCACCCATCACCATTCATGATTTTAAACTTAATCCGCGTATTTTTAATAAAATCTCTTGAGATATTTTATATTTTGTTAATCATATAATTTTTTTTTTTTTATCATTTTAAGTTAGTATGTGTCATTTGTACTTTAAAACTAGAATATCAATACTAATAATTATATTTATCCATTTGATTATGATGTGTTATTTTAATTTTACATAATAATAAATATATAGAACTGACAATAGTGATGTACAATTCACATTCAAATCACGTGTAAAACATGTGCAAATCACGTGTATATATATATATTTATAAAGTTAAAGAAAAATTGATTGAATGATGTATGTTCATCTGGTGCTCCTACTGAAAAATATTTTTGACTCCACCACTGCCCATTACATATACCAAAACTCACGAACGAGTTACCTTAGAGAAGCCTCAGTCAAAAGTGAAAAAAAGGGGAAAAAATTATGCTCAAGGGCACCGAAAGAATAGAGTTTATTATTAATAGCATTTCTCTTGCCTTTAATCAAAATTATAAATTACCCCCTCCGTCCCATAAAAATAGTCCATATTGAGTTTTGAGTTTTGTACTGATTTTATTACTAATTTAAAAATTTAATGTGGACTATTTTTTGGGACGGAGGTAGTATTTCATCTGTAATGAATAAATTATTTTGATTAATTAAGTAAGTTTTTTTGAGTTTTTTTTAATCTAGAAATTTTGTTTGTTTTTTAATGATCTAAAAAATGACAAAGAAAATAAAAATGAGAAAAAAATTAGACCCAATAGTTTTTACCTTTTATATTGTTTTGTAGGTAATGCGATAGATCCGCTCAATTTTGATAATCTTAGAACGTAATTGATCAATTTTAAAAAGATTGAGATGAATTAGTACACTGATATACACATTGTGATGTATCCACTCATTTACTCGTAAGTATAGTAAGTCTCGAGATTTACCATCCATCATTACTAACTAGCCGTTACAGATACCGAAACCCATCAATAATAGAATTGAAATAAGTTTCTCCTTATTTGACCAATAAATTATTGGGATTCAAAATATAACTAATGATGTCCTTGATTTTGAGGAACAATGAAAGAATTTGTTGAGGGCTTCCATTGTGGAAGTGAAAACATAAGTGAAAATTTGTAAACAAATTGGTAGGCTCAATTTAAACAAAAAAATGGAGGACTAGATTTGTAGCATTTTTTTTTTTAAAGTTTAGAACTAAGGGGCATTTTGCACAGTATGGATTTATAAAAACTTACTCATCATTTTAACTTGAAATTCTTACCTCACTTTTCTCTTTTCCTGAATTAAAATTTTCATATTCCCTTTACATTTACTTATTTTCTTAACATAAGTTTAAGATATAGTAGTATAGTAGTAGGCCTCGAGATTCACCATTCATGATTACTAACAATCCATCACCATTCATGATTTTAAACTTAATCCGCATATTTTTAATAAAACCTCTTAAGATATTTTATATTTTGTTAATCATATAAATTTTTTTATCATTTTAAGTTAGTATGTGTCATTTGTACTTTTAAACTAGAATATCAATACTAATAATTATATTTATCCATTTGATTATGATGTGTTATTTTAATTTTACATAATAATAAATATATATAACTGACAATAGTGATGTACAATTCACATCCAAATCACGTACAGAACATGTGCAAATCACGTGTATATATATATATATATATAAAGTTAAAGAAAAATTAATTGAATGATATATGTTCATCTGGTGCTCCTACTGAAAAATATTTTTGACTCCACCACTGCTCATTACATATACCAAAACCCACGAACGAGTTACCCTAGAGAAGCGTCAGTCAAAAGTAAAAAAAAGGGGAAAATTATGCTCAAGGGCACCGGAAGAATAGAGTTTATTATTATTAGCATTTCTCTTGCCCTTAATCAAATTCCAACCCCCGCTCCCAAAAAAACCGAAAAAGGAAAAAATACTACTCCCTCCGTTCCGAATTAAGTGTCGTTTTAGTAAAATAGAAAAATTTCAAAATAAGTGTCGTTCTCAAATTTTAATGCACTTTTTGTCCAAAATTTCCAAAATTATCCTTGAAAGAATTAATATTATTGGTAGATATTCTTTTAATGGGTTGGTTCAAGATATTCAAATAATTTTATTACCCTATTTAAGAGTTTCTTAAATTATGTGCAAAGTGTAGAATGACGCTTATTTTGGAATGGAGGGAGTATTTGAAAGGAGGAGGGGGAATTGGGGGTAGGTCCACCCGACCGGTGACCCGAAAATCGAGAATTCTCTCTAAAGCCAACCCACCTGACCCGTCTCGTAAAACTTTTCTTCTGTCCCCCTTTCTCCTCTCTTCTTCTTACTACTACTGTTTTCCACTTTGCTTTTTTGAGCTTTTCTGCTTCCGCCATTGTTAAAGCTCTTTCCTTTCCTTCATTCCTCCTTATCCCTAGCTGAAATCCAACTCCAATTTCTCTCAGAACTCTACATAAGCTCCTGATTTTCCAGTAATTTTAGGACTAAAGTTGGCATTTTTGCACAGTATTGATTCCAAGCAAACACCCCCATTTCCATTTCTGCATTTCCACTGTCCTAAAAACTCTTCAAAAACCCACTTACAAAATCATCATCATTTTCTCCTTCCTTTTTTTTTTTTTTTATCCTTAGGCTTTTTAGTTAAAAAGTTTCCACAACCCTAAGGATGCATTTCCATTTCTTCTTCTTCTTGGGTTTCCTCATTATTAGTTTGCCTTCACTTATCACTTCCAAGTCTACCATAGAACCATGCGCAAATGCTGACTCTTGCTCCGCCTTCGTTGGCTACACTCTCTACACTGAGCTCAAAGTCTCTGAAGTTGCTGCGCTTTTCAATGTGGACCCTGTTTCCCTTCTCACGGCGAATTCCGTCGACATTTCTTACCCGGACGTCGAGAATTACATTCTCCCGGCGTCCCTTTTCGTTAAAGTTCCTATCAAGTGCTCCTGCGTCGACGGAATCCGTAAATCCACTTCCACCTCCTACAAAACCCGGCCTTCCGACACCCTGTTCTTCATCGCCGACGAGGTTTACGGCGGCCTTGTTTCTGCCGACCAAATCAAGGAGGCCAACTCCAAAGTTATTAGCGACCCTTCTGTCATTAATGTCGGTACTAATTTGATGATTCCGTTGCCCTGCACCTGTTTTAATGGCACGGACAACAACTTGCCGGCCACTTATATGTCGTATGTTGTGAGGCCGATTGATACCCTTGCCGGAATTGCCAGGAAGTATTCTACCACCGTGACTGATCTTATGAATGTCAATGCTCTGGGTGGTCCTGCCATTAAAGACGGCGACATTCTTGCCATTCCTCTCTCAGGTAGTGTCCACTCAACTTCTAAATTTTTTAAAAGTTTGTATTTTTCGGTTGCTTTTGCATTTTGCTGGTTGAATTTGGTGGATAGGAACGATTAATCCGCGCTATCATAAATTTATGATATACTGAGGTCTGGTATGAAGTTGGAATGTTTTAAGTATCTAAGGAGTTGTAATAAGTCTTTGAATGCTGCTGCTATATTTTGTAGATATTGTCATGGTTTTGTCATGGTTCTTTCGTTTTTTTGTTGGGTTGAGCATGGTTCATAAATCGTTTTTTATTGGAAAAAGATCATTGTTTTCTTGCACAGATTTGCCTTTGTGTATCTTGTATGGGAAATGCCATTGGGAAATTGTACCTTGGAGTGAATATTACTCTCTGAGTCTCCCATAATATTAGAAGTGTTTTTGGTTTTCTCTTGTGGCCTCCAAGATTGAAATTTAATTGGAAGTTTCACAGTTTCATCCTTCAGTCCAAGTAATATGGGAATGCATTTGTAAAATTAGGGATGAATTGTTTATGTAAAGGTGAAACATACAACTTCCATGTTAGTGAATCAGTACTTAGTAGTACGTATGATTTGTGTTCAATTCAAGTTGCTGTGATTTCCTTGAGCTGATGATCATCATTTTTTGAGGATACACTTGGAAGTTATCTGTTTCTTAATGGCAATTCACCGTTTCAGCTTGCGCCTCCAGTTTCCCAAAGTATGCGTCGGATTATGCTCTATCTGTGCCTAACGGGAGTTATGCTATTACTGCAAGTCACTGTGTACAGTGCAGTTGTGGACCAGGGACTAACAAGTGAGTAATCTTGTCATTAAATTGTGTGTCTATATAACTTTTGGTGACGGAAATTATACCCGTGCATTTTCAATTCTGATACTATGTAACAGAACCTTCTTTACCCTCTATGCAGTTTGTATTGCATGCCAGCTTCTTTGGCGGTTTCCTGTTCAAGCATGCAGTGCAGTAATAGTAATCTCATGATTGGGAATGTCACGTTCCAACAAACTAGTGCTGGGTGCAACGTGACTACTTGCAGTTATGGAGGATTTGTCAACGGATCGATTGTTGCAGTGTATGTGTCTCTATACTCTATAGCCCACAGATGCCTTTCTTCGCATTTTCCTTTATTTCTGTCTTGCTCCTTTTCTTTCCACTCATAAATCTCTTCCTGACGCCTGTAATTATGGTTTTGTTGGCAGATTATCATCATCTCTTCAGCCTCGCTGCCCAGGTAAATGGCAAAAATGATATCTTACTGCTTTTACCCAATGGCATACGCTGAGTGCACCACTTGTTCGGGTGTTTTTTTTTTTTTTTTGGACTGGTTATGTCTACTCTATTGGGGCATGAGATTATAGACATAATCTTTTTCTTTTCTGTTGTCTTGTTCTTCTTCCATATTACTTTAGACTTGCCAAATGGTTTGAAAGTCAATTCTCATGAAGAGTATCCCTCAACTGTTGCGGGACACTGATCATTTCTTGTTGATTCTGTTGTTTTTCTTTTTTCCTTTTTCTTATGTGGCTATACTTCTGGTTCCATTGGCATGACTTAAAGTTGATCTATGATGCAGGACCTCAGCAATTTCCACCCGTCTTGGAACCCTCTTCATTAATTAGCACAGAGTCCATATTTGCACCCGCTCCTTCACCATCTGAAATAGCAGGTGCTCCAACAATCCCCGGCTTTGTGCCTTCTTCTGGCACAACTATGCAAACTCCACCAGCGAATGGTCCAGCCGGAAGTGCTTCTTCTGCTTACTCATTGGCGCATCCATTGGCCACTTTCCCTATGATTTTCCTCTTAACTTTTTCACTCAAGAATGTGATGTCATTTCCGTTGTAGTTCTCTTCAGACATGAACATGAGATGGGATTTATTCTTTTTTTGTTTAGCTTGTATTTTGGGTTGGATTAGCCGTGAGGTCCCACGGAGATTTATTTGGACTACTTAGTGGATGAACTCCTATTTTCCCCAATTGACTCTTGCACTTTCTTTTCGTGTCAGCTTCCTTCTGCATGTTTTTGTTCCTTCAATGCACTCGCGTGTGTATATTTTATATCTCTCCCTGACCAAAAGTTTGGCTGTTCGGGTGAAGTGAGCAACTAGATTGTGTTAGCTTGACATTACCCAATATTCAGGGCAAAGTTTGGTCCCTATGTATCTGAAATTCTGAATAACCAGTATGAGAAATCGTTAAGGTTTAGAATGCGTTGGATTTCAAAAGATTATAATCATCTGTTGGTCTCTATAAAGGTTTAAGCGTACTCGAAAACGTAGCCATACTTGAATCATGAATGAAATGGATACTACGGCAATGAAGAGAAACATATAAATATTAATCAGTGTAGTGCCTTCAGAAGGTAGGGTATAATTTGCTTTTAGGTGTCTTACCGTGACAAAGGTAACATGTTTTTCTAGCACGAATAGATTGAATAAAATTGTGAAATGAAACACACAAGCAAAAAGGTTATCTGAACAAGCATCGCGAGAATGAATCATCAATTTCTCACTACATTGGCAAGAGCAAGTGGATTGTTCCAGTCTAATGAGTAAAACTGCATCAAAACAACACACCACAGAGTCTGGTTCCACTTACTGTGGATTAACCATATGCCTCTGGCATTGAACCTCAGATTGCTGGGAGTGTCATATATGAACAAAGTAGACCAACTAAACAACGGTGGAACTTCACAATACAAGCGAAGTGATTGTACATATGTTACACAGATGGAGGTCTGGGGGTCAGACGGCCGGCGTAATTGCAAACACGGAGACTAAAAGAGCCACAGCCGAGGTTCAATTTAGTCAAAATAACATTCATGGCACGGCACAAGAATTACGTTTCTTTTTTTCCAGTCAAAAAATTGAGAAGTAATAAAAGTTCATGTACATGGTAAAATGCAAACATCTTGAAGATACAAGGAACTTTTGGTTTGTCTAATCAATGCATGGTAGAAACAATGTGAAAATGGCAGATCAATGCATGACATGATCATTGGATTAGACTTTGCAACAGATACTCTCATACTCAATACACACATTAGGGCAAGAATAAGGACGGAAAATAAGTCCATGACATTAGAGACTTCAATCTCACAACAATTACAATATTTACAAATTGCATACAATTTGAAGTTGAATTGGAGACAGATAATTAAAAAGTTATATGTACAATTTCAAAGCGGGATCATACAGTAGACGAAGGTTCTACTACCCCAAACATTGAAGGAATCAGCTTTCACAGAGTTTTCATGACGATTTTACTAGTGTGGTGAACCCCTGTAGCAGCAACCTTTAAAAGGCTGCGAGCACTGTACAACCTATCACATTCAAAGTACAATAATGTCAGAGTCCAGCTGACAATGGAAATGGAATTGATAATAATCACATGCGAGTAGCTGCAATGTTAATAAAACGAAGTACTGGCACAAAAATTAACGCAATGCAGTATTATAGGATTCCTATGAAAGACTAATCAACTGATATTGACAAACCTTAAGTTAGAGGAAGTATTTGAACTAAGCAGGGAAGAGAAATGAACTCCAGTTGGACAAAATATAACAATCCGGTGAGGTTACCAGACGACAACGTCAAAATGAAGCTGGTTAAATCAGTAAAAAGTTTGATTATATCCTTCTTAGGCAGTTAAACCAATTAAGAAAAGACACACCATTCATGAAAAACCTATTTCATTTCAGCACATAGTTCCTCAAACTAAGGACATTATTTGAAACTTAGTTCCCTTTAATATCATTACTTCCAGGACATTCCAAAAACAATCAGATGACATTTGACAAACTATAGGGGTAAAATATGCAAGTATATGCTTCAAAAACAAAAACAGTAGATGGATATGGCTCCAGACAAAGCAAAAATGAGATTCTTCACTAGGGCAATAGTTAGCTAATCTAGTAAGTTTGTCATGTGAGACTGCAGTTTTAAGATCTACTCTGCAATTCTAGTTTTCAATGGTAAAAGGAGCCAGTTTCGGATCCCTTTGGGGAACAATTGGTAAAAGGTTATGAAATGCGCAGAGCCCTTACTGGCATATATTGGATGTTGAAGGAGCCAGTTAAGGAACTTCCGTAATTTGCAAAACGTGTTTTAATATAGTCTTTAGATGCAGGTTTCTCTCCTTTCCTTTTAGTGATTTTATATTCTCATTATCAAGAGTTATAAAAAAGATTACTGCTTCGCAGGAATTTCCTAAATCCTAGCTGACTATCATGAAATGCTAGTTTTTAAAGTTTATCAAGGTAAGTTTCCCTTTTGCGATTGGGTCAGAAAGGAAAGTGATTCCTTGTGAACGTCTTATACAAGTTGGTTTTAGTTTGTCGTCTGTAAGTAATGTGTACTTATCTAAATGACAATGAACCCAATCGAAGTAAGCAATCTGTAAGTAATTTCCTAATTCCTTGTGAACGTCTTATACAAGTTCAGCACAAATTTCCAAATGCATCTTTCTTCAAGAATTATGCGATGCAACTTTGCTTTAGTGTGATGCCTTCAGATCCCTTGGTGCTACACCAAAGGGTTCTGAGAGTTATTCACAGCTTTTCGGTTTTTGGGCAATTAATCAGTTCTTCAGACCTGTTACGCTTAGTTTCCATTTCAAACCCCATAAGAGCATCTAAGATCTGTTCTATCTGAACACATGCTTGTGAAGTATCAGGTCTATAATGAACATCGCTCGAATAAATCTTACCCGGCAAGAGCAAAGCCCCATGTAGATATCGTATAAAACATCCTTCCAGCTGTCCAAAGGTAAACCACTGTTTCCAACTTACTTTCACCCTCCAAAGCTTTAGTAAGAGCTGCGAATCAATGAATTCGGGCAGAAAACAGGTGCAATTAAAAATGTGAATGAAATGACCGGAAAGAAAAAGAACATCGCAGGGGAACATGTTAGAAATACTAATACAATTAGCTCAACCTTTGCAAGAAGTGCTCACATAGTGCAGATTAAAAACTCAACAGAGACATGTGGCACGATACAGCCATTGCGGTGGATTTGATTTTAAAAATTAGACATTTAGGTATTTAGAAAGGAACTATAGTGTGTTTTCCTATCTTAGCGTACTCCATCTTTTTTTTTTTTTTTCCTGGTTAAGAGAATCCTCCATCTAAAGCAGTAAGAGTACAACATATCTTATCATATATCATAAAACATGATGCAAGGATACTAATTTTAGCTAAAACATAAATTTGAAGAGCTTCCCCTAAAGTAAAATATCCATATCACAGGACACCATTATTTGATTATAACAAAAATTATCACCCGTCAAACAGCATTAATGCAATAAAAAAAGAAAGGATCATTCATTTTCGAAGACAGATTATACACGGCTATTCAAACATTACTAACAACAAAGAGAACTAAAAATCAAACAAAAATGATGCAGTATAACCAATATTCAAACGGAATGAATAGTTATACCTTTCTGAAGCTGCTGAGGAGGCAATAACTGCAAATTAAAGCAAGGAAAAAGGATAAATTTAAGTCAAACACAGAGCTACAAATTCGTTTAACATTTGGCTTCTAAAACTCCAGGCACATTTTGGGGAAAGAAAAACAGAGAAGGGATGATAATATCCACACACCTTAGCTTTGGGATTAGAAGCAATGCATTTGGCCATGAAATTTGCAATCCCATCAACAACATGCTCCTCAGTGACAATCACGTAATTCTCAGAATCAATTTCACTAGGAGCTTCAAAATTAATTGGAGTGACCTCGTCCGAAACCCAAACCCACCAGCTTGGATCTTTCTGGTCTAAATTGACGAGAACTTCAGCCTTCTCCACATCCTTCACTGCTTAAAAACGGAAGAGAATACTCATATCAAACTTTCCACAAGACCCTAAAGAATATCATGAACTAAAAACAAATACAGCTCAAAATTTTGAAGTCCTACTTTTTAAAGGAAAAACTGTACCTGAAGCTTCAGAAAATGGAAATTCACAACAGGAATAAGATTCAAGCTTATCAACGAAGCTTTTAGAATTGACCGCAGCTATAATTCGTTCCTGGAGCTACAAAATAACACAGAAAATCAAATAAATAAACAACTTAAGGGGAGGAAAAAAAAAGCCAACAAACGGAAGAGCTTTAATAAAAAAAAAAAAGAAGCTCACATCGGGCGGGCAGGATTGGGATACAGGAGATTGGGAGATACTATCCAGAAGTTTAAGATTTTGTTCCAGTAAATTTCTAAGACGACGATTTTCAGACCGCAAAGCTTCCAATTCCTGTTCATCCTTGGATTTTTCTGGGCTCGATTCGAGGGATCCCTTTGCCGTTGCCGGCGCCGTCCCTTTCTCGTGTTCAGGGTGGTGGGGATGGAGATGATGACTGCATTCCATGGCCGTCCATGTGAAGTCAGCGAACTCCAACACCGTCCGGGCGACTTCCAACGGAACGGCAGCCCCTACCATGGTTCTAATAAATCTTCGAGGGGATGAGCTCAGAAATAGTTGCAAGATTAAAAAGGAGGAATCTTTGGGATGATGATGATTTTAATTGGGGAAGAAGAATTGATGCAGATGGCTATGGAGGTTTATTAGTCAATCCGATTGCGTAAAGGTGGGGAATGAATGATGATTGAGGATTGGTACTTTACATTTGGGGTTCTTACGTTTACATCCTCCAAGGTTTTATCTATACGACATAAGTGCCCTCTAATGTTAGTCCATTAACGTTCAGACCCCTGTTTTGTTGAATTATAATACTTGCCGCCAATTTAACCGACGCCCGACGGCCTTATAAAAAGCAAAGAAAATTATTGTAATACTCCATCCGTCTCAAAATTATTGTCTACTTTGGATTTTCACTTTTAGTATTTAGTCTCGCCTTCTTGCTTCTACGAAGTCATAGTGAAAAACATTTGGAATAGCTAGATCGCATTTTAGTGGAAAACATTCTCTACAAGAATTGCCATACTTTCAAGAACCAACGCCGACATTAATAAATTTGCTGCAACAATTGGAGCCAGTATGGATGATTTGTTCCTTCCTTGGACATCAGAGCTGATGAGCCTGATTCTACCAACCTGAGAAAAATTGAGCTTACCGAACCATTCAATCATTGAGAAGTTACACAACACAAGTGCATACATGACCACAGTTTTTTCTAACAGCTTGAGAAATGCTAGAGTCCGGTCCGAGATTAGTAATCGAGATATTGACCACTGCACACTACCTTACTCGAACCCATTTCTGTAAAGGTGACCCTTGATACTTGGTGACATTCTTGTACTCGCCTTCAAAAAGAGAAAAAAAGAAGATATTTCATCTGTACTCAGTTTAGTTACAATGTCCTATTACATTCTTGAGCCTATTTGAAATTATGTTCCACTAATTGAAACTAACGTAAACCTATCTGGCAAAAGATATAAAAACTGAGGTAAAATACGACGAATGTGGTGGGGTAATAGTTCTAACTTCACAACCTTTGCTTCCCCTTCCTGTCTCCTGGGATAGCGCTAACGAAGCAGGATTCAGTCGCTGCCTTCATCATCTGCAAGCAAAAGGTAAACAATCACTGATGATTCAACCTTACAATATGGGACTCCATTGACAAGACCAAATTAGCAGCTCAGGAAATTCTTCTCTTAACAATTGAGTAAAAAGTCATCACAACTTTTCATCTCACTTGATATATATATGCAACATGGACAAGTTAGGGGGAGCAGCCACTAACTGCAAAGCCTTAAATGCCATCTACATTCAACATGACATGAGACAGATGTATGTGAAGGTGGACTATCGAACCAAGGGAAACCCTGAGCCAAAATAACTTCAGGGCATCAAACTGTTATTCAACCATCTCTTTTAATTACTGCAAGAGAGACATGTCGCAAATAAACATAATGCACCACCATTATGACCTAAATGCATTGTAGATACACAAACATGAAGATAATATGAGCAGAGAGAAAAAGAAGTGTTAAAATTGATGTGCAAGCAACACTAAACTAATAAAAAACAAAAATAAACGAGCACATTAGAAAGGAAAGTAAGGATATACCCAATAGATGAAAAATCAGAAGTTGTTCACAGATATGCTTAAAAGGCACTTACAAGCTCCAGCACAGCATGCATAAATAACAGACGTATTAATTTACATAGTGTAAAACCTAAGTAATCTTATAAAAAACTACATAAGCGAAATTTCATACCAATAATTTTGTTTGATAGAAACAACAGCAAGATATGTTCCATATAAAAGATGCCAAAGAGTGGAGTGAATGCTTTTTATTTTTTAAATCAAAAGGCATTTCCAGACATGTCAGAATATTTCAAATATCAATTTTAAAGGGAAAAAACAAAAATAAGTTTCTGTAATGGTTATAATCATGAACAACATCCGATAAATAAAAAAACGAGATAGTTTCTCCATTGAGAAGTCCTTATCTGGCAAGTAAAAGAATGAAACATTTCAAGCTTACCATCATTAAACTCTTCACTTTGACTGTCATCTTCTTCATCATCTTCATCTTCTTCTTCATCATCTTCATCTACTTCTTCATCTTCTTCATCATCTTTTTCTTTTTTCTCCCCTTCTTTTTTATCATTATCTTCTTTCTTCTTGGCATCTTTGACAACATCTTCTTCCTCGCCGCCATCTTTTCCATTATCCTCATCCTTTTTGGTACTCGCTGCATCATCACCAATTTTTTCTGTCTTTTTAGGTCTTGGAGGGGGCACAAACCCCATTGTTGACCTCCTACGAGAACTTGTAATGATATTGCTCATGTCAATCCCTTCCAGCTCTTTTGCTCTATCCTTTCTCCTTTTAACTTCCTTTATTTCTGAAGATAATATATGATAAATTATAACAATATTTAAGAAATACTATCTAGTATTGAAGGAACTGAATACAGAATATCTAAGTATTAGCTATACTGGCACCTGATTACCACCAAAGGAGAATGAAGTCGAGAAGATCTTTCGAAATTAAAAATTAACTAAATTTCTAAAGCAAAATCATTGAATTCAATGAAAGAAGTATTAGCAAAGACAGTCTACAATATCCAAGTGGGTTGGTGATTGAGTTTCATACTTCAAACTGCCTTAAAAATCACACAAAAACACCATGTTTAAGAACCTCACAACAATAAGTAAACGCAGCTAAGGATTCATGCATTTTCTAGTCTCATTATTTTAAGTTGAAGATCAAATTGACCCAAAGATTCATGCATTTTTTTATTTTAATTTTTTTGGCATAAAAAACTCTCTTTCAAAAAAGCACAACATAAACACCTAAGACCTACTTTTTTTTCGTCAAAAATATCACCTACTTTCAAGAGTAGATACATGATCCTTCCAATAGACGTATCTCATCGGGTTTGCTTTAACATGAAGTAGTAAATATTGGAATCAAGGATTCCTATAGCTACCAGATTAACAAGGGAAACTAACACGTCATACAAAATTTGCAAGTTAAGAAAGCGATGCATTGTGTTAGATTAATAAAATGAAAAAAGTATCTACACGTGCATTTCATCGAGAAACTGTGTTTCATAAAGTTGAAGTATGCTTGCCACTGTCTGCCAATCACTAAACCAGAAACAGATTCCAGTAGATAATCCATGTTGAAGAACACATGCATAGCATAACTCAATGGATCATCAGAGAAGGAGATGCTTTATAAAAAGGCTCTCAGACTTGGGAAAGAGACAAAGTGAAAGTGAAGCTTCAAAATAGTAACAGGAAGGCAGACAAGACACCTGGGTGTGAAAGGGGACATCTAGAGGACCCGTTAAGTCAACACTAAAAGAGCTGTCGACTGCATTGACCCCTTTATTTATCAAGCTCAAGCATCACTACTACTCGCTTTTTGACAGCTGATTCAGTTGCCGTTAGCAAAAGAAAGACCTGGTTTACCCACTAATATTTCTGCATTTTAGCAAGGACAATGACTGCAACTGAATCCATTGCTAAACAATCCTCAAACCGCATTACCTGGTGTTGATATGCATATTACAGGACCGTAAGTTTGTAATGGACCTTTTAGTTGGACAGTAAGTTTGTATGTTCTTTTATCTTTCACCAAGAGTATCCCAGCAGAGGTAATTCTCTCAAAGCTTGAACCAGTACCAGAAAGCATATAAGCCCGACAAAAAAATCACGGAGAACAATAACTTATCTTATTATGAGAAAATTTTTCTTGTACATCCATCTAGTACTGAGGTCTCAATGTTTTATATAAATAACAAAGTTGATGCCACCAAATAACATAAATTAAGATCACAAGTTTTACATGAGTAATGGTAGTTCCACATTAGGGAGCCTCTAAGCATTTTTCACTAAAAATCATGTCTAAGTAGTTTCTACAAGTACACAAGCCACACATTGGCACACATTAAGGATATCAATACAAATCATCAATAAGTCCTAACCATTGCCAAATCACATCTTCTCTCCCAATTTAACCAGAATATGAATGCTCTATGTGTTGACGAGTCTACTGACATTCTTCTACCATTTCTTCTACAAACTATACCATCCAGCTAAATCAAGAGATCTCAATGGGAGACAGAAGATGAAACTTGGTAAGCCTGTTGGTACATGTTGCCACAACCAGCCTCTGTTTGTACTTCAGTTTAATAAACAATTTTCAACCTTATTCATTCTGACTTCATGCGTATAACAAGGTTAAAGCAAGAAGTTTGTTAGACGAACGTTTCTGCGGAGAACAGTCCTTTTCTTTTCCACACACACACACACACACACAAAAAAAAAAAAAAGCCCCAGAGGGGCCCATATTTATAAATATGTGGGAAAATCCCCTTCCTGACATTTCTGCCATGGTGAACTGTCTACTCGCTACTCCAACATGAAAGACTAAATTGATGGTTGACAAAACATAATTTCAGAATCAACAAGAACAATAAACCATGTTCTTACCTTTCTCAGAAGGATTCTTTGATAATCCTTCTTTCAAGAGAATGCTCTCCAATTCCTTTATCAGAAAAGCCTCTCGTTTGCTATCAGGTACCGATTTCGCTTTCTTGTACACCGTTGGCGCAACACTTAGGAAGGATGAAGAAAGAAAAGATTCAAGATTGTCAGAATAGCACAAAAAAGCATACACAGTTTTTGCTTCAAAAGATTAACCAAAAGGTAAATATCTTAGCACCTCATTCCACAGGCTTTGATTACTGACTTCAGGTGATCAACCTGCTTCCCATAAGCAGGAGCAGGTGCTTCTTTTCTCTGCAAATCAAATCAGTGTCCAGTTGAAAATAAAATTATGCACATGATAGCACTCACTTCTAGAACACATAATCACAGTACATAAAAAACGGTCACCTTTGCAGGTTTCACTGCAGAAGATCTAGGTTCATCATCTTCAGAAACACCTCCGCTTCTGTCACTATCAGCATCACTATCTTTCTCTATTTGCTTTTTAACAATTTTCCGCGGCTTCTTGCTGGTGACATCAGTCTTCTTCTCAGTTCTTTGACGTTTCTTCTCCCTCTCTGATTTTTCTGCTTCACCTCTTCGAACAGGTTTCTTTCTTGATTTATCTTCATGATCTTCATCAACATTTTCATTATCTAAAGAACCCGTACTAGTATCTATTACCTGCAAGAAGAGATTGGTGAATATAGTGTACCTAGCTGCCTCACATTTATAGTTAGATTTAAAGCTTCGCTTACATGATCAATTTCCTGACGTATAAATTTCTTGAAGGGGTCCAGAGCATTTGTACTTAGTTTTAGCTCTCCCTCCAAATACCGACGAGCTCCAGCTAAAGTCAATGTCCTGGAAAAGTGTGTCAATGAAATCCATAACTTAAAACCCAAGAGAAATTATAACTTCAAGGAATGCAATAGATGTTCCTAATCTCCATTATGCTCGGTTTCGGAACAAATAATGATCAATAAAACTAGTTTAGAACACAGTTACATACTCAGACTGAGATCTTATGTACTCTGCTCTTTCCTGAATAGCCTTCTTTATCGTGCTCTCCGTAATTTCAGCAGCTTGTGTGCTAGAGACATTCTCAGTGTTCGTACTCAAGATGCCCTTTATAGGTGAGTCTTCTTCCAATTTCGATTCACTTACAAAGTTAACTGCACCTGAATCTTTGTCCTTCACAGGTGAATTCACATTTTCTGCCACTTCCTTTTCTGGCTTACTGGAGTCAACCTCCTCTTCCGCATGCAAATTCTAGCATTCAGACGGACAGTAAAATAAGTCTAGAACAGGTCACCGTTCGATCGAACATAATGCAGCCAACAAAAAAAGTGAGTAAATAATACTGCACTGGGGGGAAGTAGCCAACAGGAAAAGTCCTCTTTTATCTTTCTAGCATTCAGTAATTTTAGTGGAGCTGCGTGGATAACCATAGGTTCATATTTTTTTTCAATTATCATATTCATTTCTGAAGGGAGGGTGTACTGAAGATGATCATGCGTAATTGAGAAGCATTTTTCAAGTGAATACATCAGCTTCTGTTTTTCAATCTACTTGGTGGACGGTTGAGGATGGTACTTGATGCATAATTTTTGCCACATCGACTTATCAAGCTAAGCAGAGGCTTGGAGGAAACAGGGTATAATCAGAAATCTCAGCTAAATGGATGGAGATCATAAGTGTAAAGCACTTGAGTTTCTGCTTTCTTTCGAGCTGACTACTAGAAGGTCATCACTCATCAATGTAATAAAATCCAGAATAAGTACAATTATCATAATAATCATTTTACATGGCAGGATGACACCACTTAAGGAGATCTAAGCATATAGTGATAAATTAGGAGTTCTAGAATCATTAAACACCAATTAAGGCCATACATATTGTATTAATCAGAAGAAGCCCTTTCATCTAGATTACTGCTGGGAATGTACTTGTAAGGTTTGATTTCTTAGTTCCAAAACTTCTTGAGCCTACCAGGTGCAACAGCAGTCTTGGCAAGATGTATTTTAATTAACAGAAAAGCTGTAGCAAGAAATTTCTAAAACAGAAAAAATGAATTCAGGAGGATTATCACATTATTCTTCTGTTTCTTTCCATAGGTTAAGCAACTCATAAGGAAAATGTTGGCCACGTGAGTAATGAAGTTGTAAATACTGTTTATGCATATTAAGAAAAAAGAAATGGGTGATGTTATGATGCTTTTACATTTAAACAAAGCGAACGTAAGAAATCATGGGGCAGTCAATAGCTGTGAGCCTGTTTATTACGAGGACCCTAAGGGCAAAACTGGATGCGCCCGCGCTCCCCCCACGCGCCCCCCCCTTCCCCCGGGTTGTTGTATGCCAAAATGTAACAATGAAATCAAATCTACATAAGAAACTATTTGGCACTAGAGAGACCCTAGGGAACTCATCTAAAGAATATCCCTTCTTCCAAGTTCAAACACGCAGCAGATACGATTGAGGATATCATTCAAATTGCTGAGATGTAGTCAAATCAATTAATACCAAAGTACATAAATAGGTCACATTATCAGAAAATTACAAGTGCTTGAATCGTTTTACAACCTAATACAGATAGTCCACGACAAGTTTAACCACAAAATGTGTCGAGTACAACTAACAAGATTTTCAGAGCCAAAACTATAGAAAGAGAATAACCCACACAACATGTCAAATCCAACTAACATAAACTAATTATTTAGCATGCGGAGAACCTCAAAGAAGAACTATGAAAAGCTTAAGTAAGAAAGTTTCTACTTGAAAACCTAGCAGCAAAAAACTGTAAAACTGACCTTATCAATGAACTGCTTAATGAAAGTCTTGTGGACATCCAATGCATTTTTGGCAAGGCCCAAGTCTTCCTCTAGCAGCCTCCGAATACCCGCCAGAGTAAGGGAACTGTGGAAGGAATTCACAACACAATCTCTAATCAACCAAAAAATACCCGTTGTATGTTCAACTAAAAACCCAATCTTTAAACATCCTGACAACTAATTAATCTGATTAAAAGAAAGATAAGATGAAAGAAAACAGAGGGAGACCTAGCGTTGTCCCTGAAATGAGGAAGACGGGATTTGAGAGCAGACTGTAACTGTGGTTCAGAAACCGGCTGATCACCATCCTCCTTACCCATTGCTAGTTGCAGTTACCAGGCACGAACACAGAGCAAGATAAAGGGTATGAAGTAATCAAAGGGTTGGAAAGGAGCGGGAAGAAGATTGGAGAATGAAAGGGGTAAAGCAATGAGTGGAGTTTTAGTAGTGTTTTTGGCCGATGGCGGAGACACTACTTCGGTTGCGTCCGGGTCGAACGTTCGTTTCCGTTCCTTTTTCAATATTGTGTCCTTCCTACGATTGAGTAGAAGTTGATTTATCCCAAAATTAATTTGATTGATTAAATAAGAACAATGTGATGTTTGATAGCGAATTTATCCCAAAACTTTGATGTTAATAAGGTGCTACTCCTAAAGTTTTGATCTTTTCTTGGAAATCTCCATACTGCTGAATTTCAATTCCAATTTACTAGCGTATTGCCTTCTAATAACTCAAATTCTTACATCTTTTTAAGAACATACATAGTCATTCAAATTCAATTGCCCTTAAAAAAACATCTTTTGAAATTTAGACTTGTTGTAAAGATGGAAAGGAAAAAATAGATAGTGAAATGAAATAAAAGGTTAGAAGTTCCAAGATACTTCACTACATTAATTAAGTGTTTGAAGATCAAATATTTAGAGAGGAAATGGCATTCTGTATCATCTAAAACCCTCACCATGCTTAACTTGTAGTTGACTGAATCTTTTTTTTTTTTATTAAAAAAAAAAGAATCCTCAAAACAATTTCTTGTTCAATCTCAGCAGCAATCAGTCACAGTCACTGTCTAGTTTTCTTCTCAAATCTCTTAACACTAATTTCGGTCTCCAAATGTGATATATACAAGCCTTGCATATAACTCTTTTCTTAGCTTTACAATGCCATGTTTCCACTGAATGAGATATTCTTGGGAATACTCTTGGAACCCAACCAAGTCTGCATTATGTTGTCCAACAGCTAGCTACCAGATGATGCACCTTGAAAAAAGAATAGAGGATGAATTGCGGACTCCAATCTCACACATTTCACATTTTTTGTTCCTCATTCAGAATTTTTAACTTCAGCATTATTTCTTGGTGTCCCACGACCCCCATCGTAATCTTACAATATATATGATTTACTAAATTGATCAAGCTTCTACCATGTGAATCTCACTTCAAAATCCACCATTATCATTCTAATCTTGTTCAACCAGAATCAAAAACCTTTTTTCCCCGAAAAAGATACTGCCAGTGCAATACAAATATGATGCAGACACCAAATGGCCCCAAAAAGAAAACAAAAATTTATTCACCCCCGAAGCCTCATCTAAGCTTCTCTTTTCCGGCACTTCTCTTAGCTGCTTCCTGAACCTTTTCTAAATACCCTTCAATAGGAGGCGTTAAAGTAGCCATGAACCGATTAATCGGAAATGGTGTCAAATCTGGAACCTTAGCACCCCGCCTTCAAGTTATCCGGCAAGGCCTCAATTGCCTCTTTTTTACACCTCAACATTCCTGACTCAGCAGCTTGTCTAGCTCTATGCTTCCTCATCAAAACCCGAGAATACTCCTTTGCCAGCCATCGGCCATCCTCCACGTTCAACTCATACGTCGGGATCTTATCCACATCCACTAGGCCCAGACTTGTCAAATATAGTCCACCCGGAAGGCCCATCATAAACGGTGCTTCAAACTCGTTCTTCTTCGCCATTTTCTTCCACTTCTTCTGCTGTTCTTCCATGGCCTTGCTTTTCAGATCCATTTTTTCTCTCTCTGCCTCCCAGGATTTTTCGCTGGGTTTCAGGTATCTGATGGGGGGAGTTGAACCCAGGCATTCATCAGCCAGCTCATCAAATTCGAACTTTCTTCTGGGCCCAACCCCTGCTGGTGCTGCTGATGTTTTTTTGGTAGTTACTTTTGACCTCTTCAATGGCTTACCTTCCTTTATCTTGCCCTTCCCTTTCGCTGTTCCACTTACCCAGCATCTTTGCGGTAGTTGACTTGATAGTATCTCTGTCCGTACTCCACCATTGAGGCACCCGAAACCGAACCCAAAGCCTTCAGTTTCACAATTGTGAATCCTCCACGCCGGATCATTTTTATACTTCTATGTCCAAATGTGAAAGCCTTAATGGGGAAAGTAAGAATGTACTTGTCGGAGGCACAAAATTGTGAAGAAACCTGGAACAACAGAATTAAGGAATGACAAACTGAATAAGAAGACACCATGCAAGATTTTAAGGTAAAGGTGAAAAATACAACTTCTACAGAGTGCACACCCAAAATGTACGAGAGGTTGCACAAACAAAAACCCTGAAGGTTTGAAAGCATTCCTAGTCAAACACTTCAAGGTCAAGATGAGAAGTAATAAACTTTCACACACATACCAAGAGTAGGAAAGATTGCACTAACAGAACACCAAGGGTTTACAATTTATCAAAGATATATTCTTATGCATCATTAATTTTGACAGTAAATGGCAGGACGACCTGAGAAAGTGCCAAGCATTGAACTAAGAATGTTCTCTACCAATTGGGGTGACCTGGACGCCGAGCTACCAACAAGGTTATCGTGTTCTTTCAACTTCGATCTCTCACCAAATCACTTGGTTGCCTGTTATCCTCTAATTCATGGATACACAAGTAGAAGCCTCGGAAAAAATATCCGGTCTTAAAATGAATATGTGCAACAAGGACCCTAGCCTCATCTCTAGCCTGTTTCTATTGGTGTGCATATTAACTTAGTATATAACTTAGGATAGAACAACAACATTAACAATAAGGAGCCTGCATCTCATCATATGCAGTGGACTACATGGATCATGCGTTGCCATAGAGCTCGGTCGACTCCAAAACATTAACACATGTGTTCAAGGAAATACCATTTGATACCGTGAAATCAAATGACACGAGCAAAACCCACAACAAATTTGCAGAGTGATTAAAAAGTTCCCATTGCTCAAATTCAGAAGGCACAAAGCAGAATGTGTAATGGCGTAGGCGTGACAAAATTAAATAAAAATGGCAATGTCATTGATCATGTCAAACAGCATAGCAACATATCAAACGATACAACAAGCAGAACATTGTCATGATCAGCAAAGCTTAAGTCTGAGATAGATATCCCACATAGTAAAATGGAAGGTTTCAAACACCCTCCATCATGCATGTCATTTAAAATGAGTCAAATGATAGCTCATTTAAACAAGCTATAACATTCACTTTGCTATCAGTAGACACAAAACACATCCTATCCGAAAACTTAATACTCCAACCAGGTACAGCTTTGACAGGAATATCTAGATCTCAAAGCTTCATTCTTCAACTTGACCTAGTTTTCCAAATTCGTGGTCGCATTCTTTAAGGTTCCCATTTCACCTACACTTTACAAGTAAAGCATGATAAATGGCCATGCCAACTGAGGTAAAATAATCCCACATTCATATTTTTCGCTTACTACAATTTGGAAAACTGAATTGAAAAAGAAACTATCAGAAATACTCTGCCAATGAATCGGTCTACCACTAAACAACAGTTTCCAGGTGATGTCAATATTAAGCAAAGCAGAGAAACAAATTACACACTCGAAAATTAAAAATTAAAATAAAAATTGGACTTTAGAACTAAAAACGCCGAATTATGATACTTTCCGAAAGCAACAAAAATTGACAATACCATCATCATCAAAAGAGACAAAAACATGCCAACAAAATCCTCACATGAGGTGTTGAAAATGATTCATCCCATTAATTGTTGTTAACCAATAGCTAAAGTAATGGCGTCCCTTTAAATCATGTTACATAATAAGAAAATTAGACGATCATAGATTAAAAAAAAAAAAAGTGAGATAAAAAAGAGAGAAATGAACCTGGAAAAGAGAAAACTTGTTTCTGACGGAGAAGAAGAATCCTAGTGAGGAGTGTGTGTGTTTGGGAAATTCGGTGTTCCTAAGGGGCACAACTCCAAAATTAGCAAACTTGACCGACAATGTGGGCTTAATGTTCGAGCCCAAGAAAATCAATGGGCTTCTACTTTTCTTAAGATAATTACAGCCCAGCCCAATAATTTCTGCGACGGAAATCACCTAATACCGGTTGCATTAAATCGCTCTCCCTTCGTTTCAAAGTCCACACGTAAACTAAAGAGACAATCATTTAATGATAATTTGTATGTTAAATATTTTTTTAACCTTCATTAATTGTTTTAGAATTATAACTAAAACTAGATAAAAAATGGTTAGAATCATTTATCGGGAACAAAGTTGGAAAGTTAGTCTTTAATTTACCTTATAATCCTTAAACGACTTATATTTTGAAATATTTCTTCAAACCTAAAACGACTTACCTTTTGAAATGGTGGGAGTAATTTGAGATAGCATTAAACAAGGTTTGGTCTGGGTTCATTAAACAACGAAAAGTCCAACAATTTATGAACTTGGATTAATGGGAGGTTCAGTTTGTGAATTTAGGGACTACAATATGTGGAAAACGAGCACTTAGTGTCCAACGAGGAATATATTTTTGTGATATAAACATAGTTAGTTTTTGGTCTGAAGCTAAGTGTAAACCAACAAAATGATACCACATGTATATCATTATCGTGTAGTGATATCATCATGTAAGTTAACCTATGCTAGTTTATTGCTTTAAAAATTAATCTAAACATACGAAACTTACACACACATGTATGTATATATATATATAAGATATATTATTGTAATATTTAGTATATTTCCTATTATGTCCTAGTTTAAGGTTTGTTATTGTCTATATATAGTCTGTATATTGTGCACAACATATGATGAATCCAATACAATTTCCTCTCCTTTCTTTTCTCTTCCCCGCCGCCGCTTTTTTTTTTTTGGCCGATTGTTTTTTCGGTCGTAAGTTTTTTTGTCTCCACCATCGCCCAAAACCCGTGGCTTTCTTCAGCCGGCGCTTTCCTCTCCATTTTCAATTCCTTAATCGTCGGTTGCTTCCTCCGTCCTGCTGCCGTCGTTAGTTTTTTTTTTTTTTTCGTTCCTTAATCATCGTGAGTTTTTTTTCCTGCTGCCGTCGGTTTCAATTCCTTTCGGCCGTGTGTTTCTTCTTCTCCCCATCGACCAACCTCAGCATCGCCGGCGTATGCTCCTTCCTCTCCTCTTTCAAATTCGTGCTACTGCTACCGCCGATCGTCTTCGTCGGCATTCTTCCTTCACTTGCGTCTGCTGCTGCTGCTGTTCTTCCGTCAGTCCGCCGGCCGCCGTCCTTCCGTCAGTTGTTGCGTTGCTTCCTGCCATTCACATCAGGCTTCCTGCTGCCGCCAATTGAGCCTTTCGTTTGCTGCTTTGCTGCTGTCGTTTACTGTTGTTTCTGGTGTTTGGATTATACCAAAAAAAAAAAAAACCACTTGGGTTTTATTAAGTCTTGCTTGCTTACTTTCAACGATGACTATCCCCGACCTTTCATCCACCGACCAGGCTACCCAGCTTCGGCTGGCAGCACCTTCTTCACAGACACCAGTATCACTTCTTCAACCTAGTCTGCAATCTCTCAATCATTCTTTCACAGTGAAGCTGCAATCTCGAGCCAACTATTCGTCTTGGCGTCTTCAGTTTACTCTTTTATTGACTATGTTTCGTGTTACCGGTATTGTCGACGGCACCAACCCTGCACCGCCACGTTTTCTTCCTTCCGTTAGTGGTGTCGTGCCCCAACTCAATCCTAAGTTTGATATCTGGCAGCAAAAGGATCAGTTGGTCCTCTCTTGGATTCTTTCTTTCGTTGCTGAAGACATTTTTCCCTTCTGTCACTCCCTCGCATCTGGACACTGGTGCTACCAATCATGTCACGCCAGATTTGTCCTCTCTCAGTATCTCCAATGATTATACTGGTACGAATCATATTTTAGTTGGTAATGAAGAGCTTTACCTATTCAGCATGTTGGTCAATCTGTTGTGCCATCGTTTTCTCGTCCTCTTTATTTAAATCGTGTCTTGCATGCTCCTTCTCTTACTAAGCCTCTGTTATCTGTTCAAAAATTTATCCGTGATAATCACTGTTTCTTTGAATTTTATTCGGACTCTTGTTGTGTCAAGGATCTTTCAACTAAGGAACTCCTCATCCGCGGTCGGGCTGATAATGGTCTCTATCGCTTAGATCTTCCTGCTCGTGGTTCCTTGTCTCCAGCAGCTTATCTTGTCTCTTTAGGTCAATGGCATGCTTGTTTGGGGCACCCTAATAATGTCACTCTTCGTACTTTAGTTAGGCAGTTTCAACTCCCTCATTCCTCTGTGTCCACGTCCACTGATAAATGTGAGGCGTGTTGTTTAGGGAAGTTGCATAGGGTTAGTTTACCTTCTACTTTTCATCGTAGCTCTAAACCTCTTGATTTAATTCACACTGATGTTTGGGGCCCTGCTCCTATTTTGTCATTCAATGGTTATCGCTACTTTGTGCTTTTTATTGATGACTTCTCTTTATTCACATGGATTTATCCCATTAAGTATAAAAGTGATGTTGTCCATGTTTTCAAGCAATTCAAAGCTCTCGTAGAAAATCAATTTGACACTACCATTAAAAGTGTTAACTCTGATTGTGGTGGTGAATTCGTTCTCTCAATTCTTTCTTTAAAGATGTTGGTATTGTTCATCGTCTAGCGTGCCCATACACTCATGAGCAGAATGGCACTGCTGAACACAAAATTCGTCACATTGGACTTGCTCTCCTTGGCCATTCCAGTACCCCCTTTCGGTTTTGGGATTTTGTTATTGAAACTGCTGTGTTTTTGATTAATCGCCACCCTAGTAAACCTCTTCAAGGTCACCTACCCTTCACTACACTATATCACCAGCCACCTGATTATACCTTTCTTCGTGTCTTTGGTTGCACTGTCTATCCTTTTCTTCGCCCTTATAATAAACATAAATTCTCCTTTCGTTCTACTCAGTGTGTCTTTCTTGGGTATTCTCCATCTCATCTTGGTTATCGTTGTTTTGATGTGATCCATAACCGTCTTTATGTTGCTCGTCATGTTGAGTTTGATGAGAAACTCTTTCCCTTTAAACGTCCTATTTCTACTTCTCCTTCTTCGCTGCCAGAGTCTCCTGCTACCCCTTGGTTGCTTGTAACCAGTTCTCCTGGTATGCTTGCGTCGTCTTCTGTGTCCTCTTCGTCTCCTTCTAGTACACCAGTTCGTTCGTCTCCTCCTATCCCTCCCGACTCATCATCTCTTGCTAGTTCTCCTGCATCCAGTTCTTCATCATCTGATTCCAGTCCTCCGCCGCCACCTCCTCCTTCTTCTTCCTGTCAGCACTCAATGACACTTCGTCCACAACCCAAGCCCAAGAAAATCTTTTATCCCTCGGCTCATCTTACCTCTGTTTTCCCAGCTTTGTCTACAGCTCCTACATCCTTCACCCAAGCCAAATCCTTTCCTCAGTGGCAGAATGCCATGAAGGATGAAATTTCTGCCCTCCTCAAAAATAACACATGGACTTTAGTTCCCCCTCCTTCCTCCGGCAATGTTGTCGGCAATCGATGGCTCTATAAGATTAAGACCCATGCTGATGGCTCCATTGAGCGGTATAAGGCTCGGTTGGTGGCTCGAGATTTTACTCAGTCTTTTGGGGTTGATTACACTGACACATTTAGTCTGGTTGTTAAGCCGGTCACCATTCGCTCGGTTTTGACTGTTGCCTTGGCTCGTGGATGGTCCATTTCTCAGCTTGATGTCAGTAATGCCTTTCTTAATGGTGTTCTAAGTGAGACCGTGTATATGGTTCAGCCACAGGGGTTTGTTGATCCGGTGCGTCCCCATTATGTGTGTAAACTGCATAAGTCATTATATGGTCTTAAGCAAGCTCCTCGGGCTCAGTATTCTCGGTGGCGCAGCATTTCGCTTACCTTGGGTTTTGTGGAGTCTCGTTGTGATCCTTCCCTCTTTGTCTATCGCCGTGGGTCTCGGTTGTGTTTGTTCTTTGGTCTATGTGGATGACATTATTCTTACAGGCAGCACTTCAGGTTTGGTCCAGCATTTTATCTCTTATCTTGCTAAGGAGTTTTCACTTCAGGATCTAGGTCCGTTGAGTTACTTTCTTGGGGTCGAGGTTCGTCGTACTTCCAAGGGTTTGCTTCTCTCTCAGCGCAAGTATGTCACTGATTTGCTACGACTAGCAAATATGCATACTTGCAAACCTATTTCCACTCCTTTGCAGGCTAATGTTGTGCTGTCCCGTTTGGATGGTACTCTGTTGTCTCCTGATGATGCGACTACTTATCCTCGGCTGTGTGGCAGTCTGCAGTATACCACTCTCACTCGTCCAGATATCTCCTTTGCGGTTAATAAGCTTTGTCAGTTCATGCATCAGCCTCGCACATCTCATTTTCAGGCTCTCAAACGGGTTCTTCGCTATCTTCGTGGTACCGTTGATTGCTGTTAGTTCGCATCCTCTGATTTGGGTACTCTTCTGCGTTTAGTGATCTTGACTGGGCTGGTTGTCCGGATGATCGTCGTTCTACTACTGGTTTTCTCATTTATTTGGGACCTAATCTCATTGCACGGGCATCTAGGAAGCAGCCCTCTGTGGCTCGCTCGTCTACTGAGGCTGAGTTTCGTGCGGTTGCTAATGTCTGTGTTGAACTTCATTGGGTGTGTCATCTGTTGTCCGAGTTAGGCGTTTCTTTACATCGCCCTCCCTCTATTTGGTGTGACAACGGAGTGCGGTTTTCCTTCCTGTCAATCCTGTGTTCCATGCTCGTACAAGACATGTTGAGGTTGATTTTCACTTTGTTCGAGATCATGTTCGGTGTAAGTTTGTTTCGGTCAATTCTATCTCTGCTGCTGATCGGC